GCGGGAAGCCTGCTTCTCCCTCTCCCACTCCCCCTGCTTGTGTTCCTGCTCTCGCTATCTCTCTATCAAATAAAGAAATAAAAATCTTTAAAAAAAAAAAAGAGAGATAAAAGCCTAAACCAGTTTGCATGGATAATTTATAAATAGAAATATATTTTCTTGCACTGGGGCAAGAAATGAATCCCAGGTGCTGTGAACATGGTAGATATTAAAAAGCATGCAATTGGCACACTTGATTCTCGTGTAATTTGGAAAATAAAATTTAATCTCTAATGCCTGTATGCCGCCAATGATTTAACACTATTTCCTTACCATAACAGTGAAGTCCTCACGACAGTGGGAGTTTGAAATACTTGATTGTTCAGGAACAATCTGAGCTTTGAAGAGGTTCACAGGCATAATTGATGGCCCACACTTAACCTTTGTTGGAACCGAGTTAAGTAAACTGAAGAATACAAAATTGAGTCTGACAAATGGGGCCTACATTCCCTTTAATTCCATTTACTGACTGCAGAATTACTGAGCCTTTCCGCCTCCCTATTTCTTTGTGTTTAATCTGTCTAATGAAAGGAATGACAAATTTTAATTAATAGTATACATGTAAAGCACCCAATACTGTGTCTGGAATACTTTATGTGCTTATAAATATTGGTCTTTTTAAAAATTTTTTATTTTTGGCAGATCTAAATTAATGAAAAGAGCAACCATGTTCACAGATTATAAGACTCAATATTGTTAATATATCAATTCTCACCAAATTCATTTACAGTTTCAACCCAATCTCAATCAAAATTCCAGAAATCGTTGCTCCTGAATCCCAAAGGTTAATATCTGTTGGGAATTGGGAAACATTACCACAATAACCAATGAATCCTAATAGCATTCTTTGTATCTGATGGATAAAAGAGAGCTTTTTCTCATCTTTATCTTCTTACTCTCTTAGAAATCCTGTTTCAGAGTAACATAGCCAAGCTGAAAGTCTCAGGTAGCATGAGTGTTAAGTCACACATATGTCAACCCCAAATATTTTTCACCTTTCTCTTTATATCTATACCACTTATCTTCTTTCCCCCTTAATTCCTTCTCTCTCTTTCTTTAAATTAAAATGTTTACTTATAGGGCAGCTGGGTGGCACATTTGGTTGAGCATCTGACTCCTGGTTTCGGCTCAGGGCATGATCTTAGGGTTGTGAGATCAAGCCCCATGTTGGGCTCTGTGCTCAGCATGGAGACTGCTTGGGATTCTCTCTCCTTGTCCCTCTGTTCCTCTCTCTGCCCCTCCAGCTCATGCTCGCTCTCTCTCTAAAATAAATAAATGAATCTTCAAAATGTTTACTTATCAACACATACATATTCAACAATCTTCTATATTCTAGTAAGAATATTAGGTCCTATGGATAGAAATATGAATAAAACATAGCTCCTGCTTTTAAAGGTTTTATAGTCTAGAAGACAATTTTTTTAATTTTATGAAAATTTCAAATACCAAAAAGTACAAAAAAATCACAAAAATACTCACGGTCCCCAAATTCAACAAATTTTACACATCATTTGATTTATTTCCAGTCTTTTTATTTTACAAACAAATAAAACTTTATAAAGTTAACCATCCCTCCCCAAAAGTAACCTTCTGTCATAAATTGGTATAAATCATTGCAGTAGTTCATTTGTGATATTTTCTCACATATGTACCCATACTAAGTAGAAATAATTTGTGCATGTTTTTGTTCACAATGATGGCATTGCTCTGTTTACCTCACCGTTTTGGTTCTGAGCTATATCCACACAAGTTTGTTTATTTTGGAAGCTTTATGGTAATTTATTGACTAAAGCAAAACACTATCCATTTTCCTACTGAGGGATATTTAGGTTATTTCTATCTTTTGCCATTACAAAGAAATTCTGCTGTAAACATCTATGAAGCATTCCCTCATACACGTATGTAAGAGTTCCTCTAAGGTATATATCCAGGAGTAGAATTGCTGGATTGTAGGATATGTACATTTTCAGTTTTAATAGGTACTTCCAAATTACTGTCCAAAGCGGTTGTTCCAAATCATTTATTGAATATTATAGGGTGTATCATCTACATGCCAGGCAGAGATTTGGGCATTGGGGATCAGCAGTAAAAAAAGACAAAAATTTGGGCGCCTGGGTGGCTCAGTTGGTTAAGTGACTGCCTTCGGCTCAGGTCATGATCCTGGAGTCCCTGGATCGAGTCCCGCATCGGGCTCCCTGCTCAGCAGGGAGTCTGCTTCTCCCTCTGACCCTTCCCCCTCTCATGTGCTCTCTCTCATTCTCTCTCTCTCAAATAAATAAATAAATAATCTTTAAAAAAAAAAAAGACAAAAATTTCTGCCCTTGCAGAGTTATATTTTAGTGGACAAAAACAGTCAATGACCATAATAAGTAAATTATAGAGTATGTTAGAAGGTGATCAATGCTGTGGGGAAAAAAATAACTCAGGAGCACGTCCGTTAAGCCCTTGACTCTTGGTTTCAGCTTAGGTCTTGATCTCAGGGCCATGAGATATCGCTCCCCCATACCCCCCACCATGGTCTCCACACTCAGTGCAGGAGTCTGCTTGAGATTCTCTCCCTCTCCCTCTGCCCCTCCCCTCACTTGCACACACACTCTCTCAAATAAATAAATAAAATCTTTAAAAAAATAAAAATAAAAACAGATCAGAGAAAGGAGAATGAGGAATGTTGAGAAGATGCCATTTTAAATAGCATGGAGATAGACCTCACTGAGAAGTTAACATTTTAGCAAAAACTTGAAAGCTATCTGCTTTAAGTATTCCAGCAGCGGGAGTGGGCCCGGTCTGCTTGAGCAACCCCAAGGAGGCCAGTGTGTCTGCAGCAGTGGGAGCCCCAGAGATGACTAGTAGGAAACAAGGTTAACCATAGGGACCAGGTTATGCTGGACCACATTCGTAGGCCATTGTGAGGACTTTGGCTTTCACGTAGCATGAAGTGGGAGCCATTGGAGGGTTTTAAGCAGAGGACTGGCATGATTTGTCTTAAAAGTGTATCCCTCTGGCTGCAGTGTTAAAAATATGTCCTAAAAGGGTGAAAGATGAAAGCAAAGGAGTCAAGGATGACTCACAGATGTTGGCCTGAGCAGCCATCCGTGGAGGGGAAGCCAACTGCAGGACCAGCACGTTGGTGGGGGGAATCAGGAGTTGGTTTCGAATGTGTGTTTGAGATGTCTACTCAGTGCTTCTCAGACTGCTGGAGGCTACTTAATTTGCTTTTGTT